GCATTCGAGAAATCCTGACCAGTTGTTTATATATCTTGTCATTACTCATTTTGAAATCTATTTAGGTAATCCGGGGTGTGGGGTAGACTTACCTCCTTGTAAGTCATGTTCGACCCCTATCACAGTACTCATCTTACCCTTTCTGAGCCTTTGTGTCTGTCTGTTTCTTTTACATCTGTGAATCACTCTTCTTTTCCTCCTCTCGAATTCTTCTCACTTTGATGTTCCTCCTCCCCTCTGTGAAGCCCGAAGTCAACTAAAGGGCTAATGATAACCAACAAAACGCCTGCCATTATTTATAAATATCAATAAATTTGAAGTAATATTGAATTGACAACTAAGCATTGTAGTATCACTAGTCCAGTGTATATCCCCATAATATGGCCTCATCTGGACCCTGAAACGCGAATAAGGTTGACCATGTCACATTTTCACGAGAATGTTGCTTGTCTACCCAGATTAGTAACAGTGCATTATGAATAAATCATATGAATCAGCTGATAAGTTCCAAATACACTTTTACCTTTGGGTAAAAGTATTTAAGTCAAGATTATTTGGACTAAACTCTAAATTCCCATGAATTTGAAATAAGTGAAGAAAGGGAATGTTAGAACTTGATATTCAAAAGAATTATGAAGAACAACTAAGACCAAACACTAGCTGAAGTGTCTTACCTCTAAAAAATGCAAAGAGGTAGAATAAAGGCATTTTCCGCTCATCAGAGTTATGGAGGTGTTCACTTTCATAGAAGACAATATTAAAAAACGCATTGAAATCTGGCTGAAAATCTTCTTTTTTACCAACGCATTGCTGAACTAATGTTAATCCTTGGATCTCGTATGAAATGGAGGTATTACTTCATTTACCAAAAACTAAGAAGATTTAGTGGTACTTATTCATCATTTGCTGTCGAAACAAAGAGATCGGCTCGGGTGAACTCGTGACCCACTTTGTGCACTCTGACCTTGTAAAATAAACAAAAGTGGGTTTTGGTGTCACCAGACTGAGTCACTCTAGAACGCCGCATTTGGTAGTTGGCTTATCGGTCATGCGATTTTATCGCATGGCAATCGTTTTCATTTTAGCGATTCCTTGGATTGGAATGGTTCCTATGAAACATTTATTTATTTCAAATGGCAGGCGTTATGATAGGTATCATTAGCCCTTTAGTTGACTTCAGGCTTCACAGAGAGGAAGATAAACATCAAAGTGGTAAAACGTCGAGAGGGGGACAGAGTAATGATTCACAGACGTAAAAGAGACAGACAGACACAAAGGTAGAAAAAGGTGAGGTGAGTACTGTGGTGAATGTCAAATATGAAATGCAGTGGGGTCTTGGTAGTTTGAAGTCAGAAGTCAACTGCCGGTTAATAGACTTTTTTGCCGTATGAGTATACATTGCCCAGGGTGCACCACGAGGAGGTAAGTCTATCGCACACCCCTCCTATGAAACATAAATAGATTTAGAGTTAATCATTTGGGGAATTTACATTCTAAAGGGAGGGGGGGGGGGTTGGATGGGGTGCTGGCAGAAAATTCAATGGGTGATCATATCATAACTGAGGGAATTTTCTTAATTTATGAGTGGATCTACAATGACTAAAACAAAACGCACAACTTTTTCCCTCTTTTAGTGTTGACTATTGATCTCATCAAGCAGTTGCTGAATCCATTCACATCCAACAATTAAACATGCACCAAAGGAGTGGTGGGCCAAGACTATGGTTCTCGAAATTTGACTAGTTGAACTCATGAAAGGATACAAGTGTGGAACTATAAAATCAGATTCGGATTAAAATGTACGCAAAAGAAAGGATCACTTGAAGGGTACTCCTTGAAATAAATGCTTCAATCAATTATCAGCGCATTTATCAAGCTTTCGATTTTACTTCCTAATAGAAAAATCAATCATATTTATTTTTAATTTTCGAAAATTTTGTTACATGACTTTAATTTCTGAAACAGTGCAACGAAGTGACCTTGCATTCAAAAACTACCAGAAAAAATAGACGTAAAAAGTAGGCATATTTAAATTTTATAATTTCTTGTCTCTTAATTGCTTTTTACGTGTGATATAATTAATCAGGTAAATGGTTATAACTAGAACTTAGGTATTTGCTACTATGTGACCTCAATCAAATCGGTTGCTACCACATTAACACAAGTATGCTCCTTCACCCTCCCCCCACCCCCCCAAACTCGTCACCAGATCAAGTTGTCAAGTTGTCGGGACAGATCACTTTTTGGCACACTTCCAATTCAGAAGCCACGAACACGGAACTAATTCGTAAAATGGCTCAAATGAAGCAAAAATAGTGAGTGTTGAGAAAGTACTAACGTTTAGAAAAGTAAAAGTGCTATTTGCTAACGAAATTGTTTTAAAACCAAGTAGAAAAATATTAATTTATATCAAATGTCAGGCTTTATGATAGTTATCGTTAGCCCTATAGTTAACTTCAGGCTTCATAGGGCGAGAGAATAATAAAGTAAAAAAGTAGAGAGGGGGGAGTGAACAGAAGACTGTTTCAAGGATGTAAAAGAGACGGATGCAAACGTAGAAAAAAAGGTGAAGTGAGTCCTGTGGAAGTGGTTAATAGGTTTTTTGCCTACGTTGCCCAGGTGCACCACGTGGGGGTAAGTCTGACGCACACTCCAAATAGTAAAATATTTACTTATTTATAACAAATGGCAGGCGTTTTGATGGTAATCATTAGCCCTTTAGTTGACTTCGGGCTTCACAGTGGAGAGGAGGAACATCAAAGTGAGAAGAATTCGAGAGGAGGAATAGAAGAGTGATTCACAGATGTAAAAGAAACAGACAGACACAAAGGCTCAGAAAGGGTAAGATGAGTACTATGATAGGGGTCGAATATGAAATACAGTGGGGGTGATGGTAGTTTGAAGTGAGAAATCAACTGCCGGTTAATAGACTTTTTGCCGCACGATTATACGTTGCCCAGGGTGCACCACGAGGAGGTAAGTCTATCCCACACCCCAGTAGTAAAATATACATTCATTAGTTTTGATTGTGGAAGACTACTGAATGGAGATAGTAAATTTATTTGAATTTCGAATATTTTGGTTGGCCGAATTCTACGACTTAACACTTGTTCATTATATAATATTATAATACATTCTGTTGACATTTTAACTTCCACAATTTGTGACGAATCGAATTCCAGTCTTTACTACTATTTAAAAGGTTAATTGACCAAATCCAAGCAATGCACATAGCCTAATTATAACTGAAAACGATTGGGGCAAAGGCATGTTGACATAATCGCATTCAGTACAATGGAACTTGGATTATTTAAGAAGCGTTTATATTTCAGAGCAGAATTCAGTCCTCTCATTAATGACCTCAAGTGCTTTGAGGTAAATTCAAAAGCTAAAATATTTATTTGGAACATTAGAACGATTATGAAGAATGGGAAGATGGTAGACAAATTTGATTATGGCTAATTAATAAAATGACAGAATCTAAACGTAATAATGAAGGAGGTTAGACAATCAGGTAATCTTCAATCTTTTCTTCACTAATTTTAGACTTTCAAACTTCTCTTTTGGGTTGGCCTGTTTTCTGACATCGCAGACTATTAGCTCCAACAACCCAATTAGTCACACTTCTGTGTGGAATAGCGTTCCAATAAAAAAATTATTTTAAATTGCATTAAATGCCTCTTAGGATTGTTAATAATGGCAAGAGATTAGAACCCATTTATTTAATGCACATTTCTTTAAGGCAAGTCCCTAATGAACTAATTATCCTTGGATATTTAAGTCAAAGTGGACTTCTATCTCGGTAACCAGACCTTTCAGTTTCGTGACCCCATATTTCCAATAAATTTCAATAATCTACCTAATGCATATATATAATTCCTGTACGTTTAATCATAATTAACGTAGCTTAAACTCATAGTTAATATAAGACAACATTACTCAGCCCTTTCGACTCATGAGGTGAAAAGAAATAATTAATCAATCAGAGCAATGAATCTATCAATAAATGTCATGGGCAGAAACTCATTTAGAGATTAGAGTGGTACTTCAAGGAATTTAAACATCGAGGCATATGAATATACCATAGTTATCAACTTTTCTTCGAAAACCTTAAATGGATTATATTACTTTGATAAGCTTCTTGGTAAAGATTTAGCCCCTATTAAATTTTCCTTCTTCAATGAACTTAGAAGAAATCTCAGTTGCTGTGAAGGTGTCTAGCAGAGAACAGCTAGATGGACACAAGAGAATGAAGAAGTTCAACATGGACTAAAGATAAACAGAGAATGACAAGGCATTTTAAGATAAACCGTTCGAACAAATCATATTAATAAACACCATCTCATAAACAAACAAAAGGGACAGTGGACCTATAAAAGGACCTTAAACTAAGCATTTGGGACATTTCCAAACCAGGTGCAGACTCTCGTACGCTTGCCACTTCAATATGCAGGGAAATTCGCATATTTTCTCTACCAATCAGAGATCTCGGAGTGTGCGCAACCTGACCAATCGGCTACCAGACCATACTAGATGACCAATGGCATTTGGCCGCAGGTTTGCTCGCGCTGTCATCATGTTAAATATGCACCCCTTTTGCTCTATACATTACAAGAGGTGCGGAGTGACGATCATTTATACGACGACTGTTTACAGCTTTAGTGTAAACTATCTAACCGCGTGTGGTTCAGTTACTTGCTTTCGTGTCTTTGTGTGTGCATACTACTTGGACACGTTGATTTACAAGAAGATCTTCCTACTACTATCGTTACGTTGCTAATACAAACTTCTCCACCTCCCCAAAGGGGTTTGTTTACATATATCCCTTCACATTGACTGCCTTTGGCGTAAGGGAAAGCTTCTTGCTTGCGCAGCATTTGTGTATACAAATATCCCAGTACCTAGTAGGTGTGTGTGCGTGTTTATTCTACCGTCAAATCGCTGTGCACATACGCACCGAGTCCTTCAAATATCGTTTGTGTAAACAACGGGCATAAAGGATGGCAATGGAAGGCAATTACTTACAATCCCACTCTCTTGCAGCAAACAACCCACATGCTTCTACCTATGGTGGAGATCACGCCACTGATCTATCTGCCCGCATCGGTTCAAGCACTCCAACCCAATGTACTTTCAGCGTCCCTCCAGCTCATTATCATCAGGGTCCACCAAATGGATATGGAATTCCCCATGAATATCCACATTGTGTATATTCGGAGACTACCCACAATTGGGAAGCTTCAGTCCAATCCGGCTTCAGCCAACGTCCGCATCAGATTGAATTCACTCACGATAAACAGAATCCAATAAATTCTGCCACTTACTGGAATGATAAACTCCCATCTCCAGGATTCGCTGGAGCTTGGGATCATGAGGCTTACCAAAATGGATATCATATGCCCGCTCCAAATGAGAACTCATTCTATGCTGATTTTCAAACATCGTCACCATTTCAGTTCCCCGGTGTCCATTCTATTATGCAGAATAACAGCTACTTTAGAGGAAATTCGCCTACAAGTCAGTATGGACGTCATCCAAATTATAATGGAATTGAATCTTCTAGCGATGCATGTCTCTCAAATAACACTACCGGAAGTTCGGAGAATCTGGTACACACCGGCCATCCTCAAGACATTGATACTAAACCAACTCTTCCACCAATAGAATACTATTCGGACAGACAAGGCTATGTTAACCCAGTTGGTGAAGAAAAGGATCAGCAGAATCCCGATTTGACAGGAGAAAATGGACATGAGGAAGGAGAAGAGTCGGAAACGAATGAAAACATGGTTGAGGGTGAGAGAATGGAAAATGGATCCATCTCCGCAGAAAATACGAGGGACGAAAACGCTTCTGAAAGTGCCAATACGACAGAACAGAAGTCAAGTCGCAAAGATGGTGAGTGGTACTTCCTATGAGTACATTCCTGTTTAAAGAGGATTTGATTAATTTTGCTATTAATATAATAAAGCATAATAGTGTTGGGTTATTTAAATACTAATCTAGATACAACTAATACATACTACGAATATTTATATATTCATTTAAATGTTTTATGTAGAAAATGCTTTCCATTGTTATATTTGTTTTACAATCACTTTTACTCAAGGCAAGTAAGGTAATCGTACTGATAAAGTAGAGATTGCTGTTTGTTATTGCTTGCATTAAATAAGCGCTTGAAGGAGACAGAACACCATGATAGAGCTCATGGATGTAAGAAATAAGTGACTAACTTAAACGGTCTTATCCAATCTTTCAAACGGGCATTGAAGAAATTGATCTGTCAATGTCAATAATGGAATATGGTACATTTTCATTCTAGATAAGCTTGCAGAAGAAACTAAACAGATATTTACATTATAGCAGATATTGTAGTAGGATTGAAAAATATTTTCATCAATTATAGCTGCAGGCCGTCGTTCGGAAAAGCCAGCATATTCGTACATTGCCCTAATCGCTATGGCGATTAAAGCATCTCCAGATAAGAAATGTACCCTTAGTGAAATCTACCAATTCCTTCAAAATAAATTCGAATTCTTCCGTGGTGGTTACACTGGGTGGAAAAATTCCGTGCGCCACAATCTCTCCCTCAATGAAGTCTTCATCAAACTTCCCAAAGGTAAGTCTAAACGGGGAGTTAGTTATAAAATTGTATTGTGATCTGTAATCAGCACATAGGCGTGAAAAAATCAGCCATGCTTAGAATTGGAAGTACGATTTAAGGTTGTGATGCGAATTAGACGCAAGGATTCGACGGTTGTAAAATCGATCCAGCATTGCACAGTAGCAATGTATGCGCGTGGTGTAATTCCAATGTTGGCGTGCGTACGTATTAGTATCCGCGCGCCTTGCTACAGGCAGTTAATATAAACAAAAGTGTTCGTGCTATAACTGTAGGGGCAAGCGAGGTGACGATCTTGGTTACTGCAACTCTTTCATGGAATTAAATTGAAAAAGGTGTTATCAAAGTATGATTTGGTTTTGGTGCAGCTCTATCTCCCCTTTTTCTATGGTCACCAAGTCTTGACGCGTCAAGTTGCTTAAGTAAATAAACCATTAGGGTGGCCACATATAGACGCAGTTACTAAAGTGTGAGACATGTTTAAGCATAAAATGATTAAAAATGAGCATGAAGATCGTCCAATTATCAGAGGTGAATATATGAGAAAGTTAGCTCACTTACTTAAAATAGTAATTCAGCGTCTTCAGGATTTGGTAACGAACATATAAAGGATCATCCTATTTGATTCATTTTGAAACTAAACAGTGTAGAAGTTTAATTGATGCAGAAAATTATTATTTGTTTATTTTTGCCTCATTTATTTTGTCTAGAAATTGTGTTTCCGATTGCGTTGTAAATGTGTCTCGGTGCCGCCTATTTTAAGTTGGTTACGAAGCAATAAAATGTAAAGAACTCTAAAGTGTGCACGAATGACTGAATACCTATCTCGAGAATATGCAGGCAAGCTGGGTTCATTTCCATGATATTTTTGCATTTGGATAATAAGAATTAGGTGTTCTCTGAAGTTGTAGTGTACTATCGAACTGAGCAAACAGCTTTAGCCTCTAAAATAAATAATATTTAAAAGTCAAATATCTTCCCAGTTAATGCTAATTAACAAATAAATGCATGGAATGACCTATACGATTCCTGTTGAGGAGATCGTGGAGTAAAAGATAAGAAATAATCAAATTGATTTGGGTGATTGGATGGTATGAGCTATTTTTACGTTTTGTGGCTGTGCTTTTCAGAAGCCCCTCGTAAGCCAGGCTTGTCTACTGATTAGCTGATTCGATCTTGTCTTCTCTACTCAAGCTAACTTGAATGCATCATTTACACAGTATTAGATGTCTAATGCTACGCCAAACAGTTTGATCAATGGAAATAGACTCAACATTCCAAAATAATTAATTGTGTGGCCATTTTTCGGAGACCTAAATTTATTCAGAATAGTCTATCAAGTGTGTTTCCATTATATTTCACAGGAATGGGAAGACCAGGTAAAGGGCACTACTGGACAATGGATCCACAAGGAGAACTCATGTTTCAAGACGGTGCATCTCGTAGACGTCCTCGAGGATTTCGACGGAGAGCATCAGCCTCCAATGCAGCAATGGTGGCGGGTAGTATTCAAGGAAACAATGGAAGTCAAGAAATTACATCTGGCCCCTTCATGGGTCAGCTACCTAATCCAGGCGTCTTGATAGATTCCGATGTTAATTTCTCTCAATTCCTCATTCCGAACATGCACCTATCTCCAAATTCCCACCCTCAACATCCCTCCTCCATTGGTTCACCGCCCAATCAAGCTACTATTAACTCCACCGAGGATGAAATGAAAATCCCAGATGAAAGGACTGGAGTATTTTACGCCCCAGCATCGATTGCCCATGGAGGGTTCTACAATCCGGTCATGGAACAGCAATACCAAAACGCAGCCGCATTTGTCCATCAACATTTTCAAGATGATGGAGCACAACAGCAGCAGATGCAGCTGTCTATGAAAGTGGAATCTCATTCTCCGCATTTTGAAGGTCCGAATTCTCTCTATGGGATTCTGTCTTCTTCCAATCAACCTGGACAAATGGTTATTCCTGGAAATAACTTCTGGCCGGAGAATACCGAAAGTAGACGTGCATCTTTCCCTATACCAGGAGAAATGAATCCAGAAGAGCAGCAGTCTTTTGACGCTAGGAGATTTGCAATGCCATGGAGTCAGACCTCTGAGGATTGCAAACCTTCCGTTGTCCATTTTCAGCAAGCTCCTGGGGAGTCTACTTTGGAACCGGCACTTCAAAACAATAGCCCAAACCTGCATTCTCACCTAAAAAATTCCATGTCCTGCAATGGTGAGTGAAATGCTACTATTTACTTCATAAGTAGTAACTGTATGAAGACTAATACTAATTTCACTTTTATTATAGACTGTGAACCTCAATATGGAACGGCCCAATAAAAGTTAAAACTGAAAACTGGTGAATCCTTCTCCTGCTCTCCACATTTTTAAAAATCACTCAACCAGTAGAACCCCATTAGTTTGATTACTTCGTCCACTATCAGTAGTATCTATTCCGCCCTTAATCCCATTCGCGTCATTCCAATGCCCCCTCTTTGTGTGTGTGTGTGTGTGTGTGTACATAATCTCCATAATGAAATGGTTAATTACAAAACAAGATCAGCTGATTTCTTACTTTACGATTTTCCTACAAAGGACACCTTTTTCTTCATCATTATCATCTCTTCTTTACTGTTTTCTATTCATGCTGATCTGAGTGTGTAATTTTTTATAAATTTAAAATAAATAAGTCATTTTCAGGAAATAGACGAGGTCTTTTTCTTTCGGGTTTATGCAAGGTAAAATAGGGGAATTGGAACTACAATGACCTGCCACTATCTCTCTTTAATGACTGGACTTCTATTTGGACAGCAGATGATGCTTTAATTGACATTTCGGTCACACAAGTAAGCAATCTTACTTAAAAATGTATTAATAAGGAGGAATAAATGAAGTATCTTTAGAGGGAAAATCTATTTATACATATATATATATCGAATGGTAGACTTTATGACAGTCATTATGAGTCCTCTAGTTAACTTCGGGTTTCACATAGGGGAGGTATATCAAAGCCACGAAAAGCTGAGAGGGGTAAAAGAAGAGTGATTCACAGATGTAAAAAGGGACGGACACAAAGGTAGAGAGTAGGCTAAGGTGAGTACTGTGAAAGTGTTCGAATATGACATACAATCGGGTCATGGTAGCTTAAAGTCAGAAACGGATTGCTGGTTAATAGAATTTTTTGGTGTTTGGATATACGCTGCACAGGGTGCACCACATGGAAGTAAGTCTATCGTGCACCCCCCCCCCTTCCCCACCCAAAGAAAACCCAATGATTACGGTGTTAGCACGTCATAGGACATAGCAATTCCTATTTGGACTATTTCAGTATAAGTAAAATATCGAAGAACTATGCTTGTATAAGGCTAGCTTGAGTGATACTAATTGAATTCTAATTCTACTTCGTACTCAATGACTCCGAAAAGTTGGAAATATGCCGGATTTACGCTGCGACCCAGGAGAAAATTTTTTGTTTTGTTTTACTTTGCGGAATTTCTCCAGAATTTCCCTGAGTTTACTCTTCAAGTGAGCAAGATCTGTAGGCCTTCCGATCGTTTAAGGACAAATTTAATTCTCTTGTTATTATACAATACACCAGTAAGAAGATTGAATAATTTAATTTCCTACTGATCTGGCATCGTTTAAATATTGTCCAATTTCTTAACCAACCAATTGCATCCAATAAATCATTGCAAAGGTGCTTATTCAAGAAGTCAATGCATAATGGAATTCGAATACTCTTAGTTCCGCTTTCAGGTATGAAGAAAACCTCTTAATTAAGAGTGCTGAGATTAAGTAGGAAAAAGGAGAGAATCGAATGATTAGTAAAGAAAATGCTAATTCAAGCCAAAACCCTGATTTGTATAAAATGGAGCGTGGTTGAACTGGAAAGAAAAACACTACTGGCACGACTGGAATGTTATTATTTCAAGCGTCATACCTACTGACGATGAGGTCACCAGGGCTTAGTAGCTAAGGCAATGAAGGTCAACTGGGGCCTTAAGTTCGCACTCAATCACTATCTCTTAGTCAGTGTGGTTGTAAGTTGAAAATAAACTCCTTCCACATTTTGGGCTCAATATGAAAATTGATATAGATTTAAAAGTAATTAACCGGAATACTCAAGAGTTGTGAAAATGAAACATGGTTTCACTTGCGAAAATCACATTGCTAAAGGCGTCAATGTTGAGGGAATTTGCAACTGATGTTCACTCAAGATTGGTGAACTTCTCTATATATTTATTTATTTATTTCAAATGGCAGGCTTTATGATATTTATCATTAGCCCTTAATCTTTGACTTCAGCTTCCCCCAAGAAGGGGGGGGGGTACATTTATAGCAGTTAATTAATGACAATTCATTAGCTGTCTTCTTGCTTCCCAGTATCTTTGGCTTTCCGTCCTTGTCTTTAGGGCTGGACACCGAATCAGAGGGGTCTTATCCATTTCCTCCTGTAGGTTGCATAGAGGGCATGTGGGTTGAGTGTATACTCCCAATCTGTGAAGGTGTTTTGCCAAGCAATCGTGTCCGGTACGTAGCCTAAACTCAGCAACGGCTTCGATTCTTGGCCAGTCGGGTATGTCGGAGATTGCCACTGTCCACTGTTTCTCCTTTGTTCGAGGTTTAATTTCGTTGCACCTTGAGGTCTGGAATTCTCTCCTGATTAAGGCCTTCATTGTGTGGAAAGAAATCGGCCGATCTATGCATTGCAAAATCCTTGTCCCCTTCTTAGCAAGTGTGTCAACTACATCAATTTCTGCTAATGGGTTCATGGGGGGAGAGAGGCTTTTTGGTTTGTCATCGATTTGTAACGCTTTCTTCAGTTCTATGGCTTTCTGTATTAGACCAGATTGCGTTTTCAGATGTCTTGGTCTATTCTCATAGGTTCTGAAGAATTTATCCATGGGAATGCGCAGTAGCTTCTCATACAGGATCAAGGCCTTTTCTTTGATAAGGGAACCTATTGTGGTGCTTCCTGTAACTAGGAGCATTGCATCAACGGGTGTTGATGTTATCCCTCCAGTAATTAGTCGTAATGCTTGGTTGTGTGCCTTCTCGAGTGGTTTGAGAGTCACCTCTGTGGCTGTAATGAGTGGCTCACAGCAATACAACATTATTGGCTGAATAAACATCTTGTAAGTGGTGTTGAGAGTTGAGCGCGCACAGCCCCATACGCTACCAGCAAGACGCTTCAGTACATTCAGTCTATTGGAGACTCGTTCTGCTATTTTAGCAATGTGACTTTTCCATGTTAGCTTTGTATCAAAAGTCATTCCGAGATATGTGAACTCATTGGTTTTTTCTATGGTAGTATCCTTGTACCTTAGAAGCGGGTTTATGCTGTGATGGGCACAAGAAAAGTTTGGAATGCAGTTTTCGCGGTGTTGATTACCATTCCATTGTTGTCACACCAGTTTGCTAGTAGTTTAAGTGCACAATTTAGGGCACTTTCTGTCCTCTCCTTAGCGTTTTTCTTAGGGGCGGAATACCATAGTACCAGATCATCTGCGTAAAGTAAGCACTTGATGCCCGTGACTGTCTGTACCAATTCAGCTATGTCATTGATGAAGACATTGAAACCAGGTCAGCCTCCTGTTAACCATTCTTTCCATAAGTTTAGCCAGCACGCTTGTGAGGGAGATAGGCCTATAGTTGTCAAAGTTGCTAGGGTCTTTGCCCTTTTTTGGTACTGGTATTACTATGGCAATTTTCCATTGGTTTGGTACAAGACTGGTCTCCCAGATTTTGTTGTAAAGCGTCAGCATGGCTTCCTTGGCTTTTGGTCCCATTCTAATGAGAAATTCTGGATGAATACCGTCTTCGCCAAGAGACTTCTTGCACTTTAGCTGTTTTATCGCAGCATTAATTTCGCAAGGTCGGAATGGTTCAGTAAGTACGTTATTTGGTGTTGCTATGTCTTCCTTAATTTCATCAAACTGTCTTACTTGTATCTTTAAATCTCTTGAAGATTTTCTGACAAAAGGGTTTTTCTTTGTGAACTTCTCTATCATTTGATGGAAATGAGTACGCGCCTGGTTTAAAATATCTTCATAAATGGAGAATGGGAATGAAGTATCAAGGTTCTTGGTGAAAAAATGTACCGGCGATGGTAATTAAATAATAAAATTAAATGGAACTGTTTTAAAAATTGCAACCAATATCTTTATTCTTTCCTTTCAGATAAACAGTTGAAATTAATTTTAAGTTGACTTAAACCATATCTTACCTTAGTCATGTCCGAAGAAAAGTTTAAAAATCCATTAAAATCGTTTGTTTCTAGATTCTATTTAGTTGAATATTTTCGTTTCAATGTGCTTAAAATCATAATCAAATTATTCTAAATGAGCACTAAGCTGAGTACTCAATATTGCCAATCATGGAGTCAGTCGAGAATGCAGACGCCTAGTCTAAAATTTTGAACGCAGAACTCACTATTTTCTTCGACACCTTCGCTATATCAGACCCATTAATTACACGACCTTTTGCCACCCCAACTTTCTTTCTCCACTAATAGGCAAGGAGTTATAATTTTGTACCTGTACGAAACAATGATCTCTCAGAAGGTATAAAACAAATTAAATTTATATCCTGTCGTATAGTTTTGTGTGAGTTATTAGTCGTGATGATTCTATCAATGCAAAGCGCAAGCAAATCCAAAGACGAAATTTAAAAAACTTTCACATCCATCCACACTTGTAAGAAAAAACTACTGCAAAATAAAGTTGTAACGTAACTTAGCGAGTCACGATATCGCTATTTCATTGGTCTCATTTAAACCACTGGTGATTGAATGAATTCCAGCGAGTGAAACACAAGCTGATAGGAGTGAGTGAGGTGAGGTGTCCAAGCGCTTCGCTCTATTTTCATGAAAAAACATAGTTTAACAAAGATGTGAATGTCAATGAATGTTTAGAAGCATAAAAAAACAATCATGGCGGAGTAATCGCCAATTCAAATCATATTTAAATGGACGGTTTCTCGTAACTTGGGCTTCTGCCGTAACTTAAGTAGCTTCTATCTGTCAGTGGGGAGAGGAGGCGGTGAGGGGGGGGGGGGGGGGGGAGGGGGTTAGGAGAGCTGAATAACTGCTGCACTGCGCTTGATTCAATGGTGATTGATAGAGTTTAAGAGGAGGTTAGCACTTAATTTCTTAATTGGAAACAAGGAAAGAGATAGTACTAGTTTAGTTAAGGGGTAGTTATTTTTAAAATGTCGACTGTTGACCTTACTACAACTCTTTTCTGCTTCTGACAGTTAAATGGGGTTGACAAGTTGTCACCTTTACCACGAGAAATTCAAAATAAGAAATATTTAACTGACAATTCTGTTTTACAAGGGGA